AAGAAACCATCTCATGCAAGGTCAATTCCTGCCCGGCATCATTGTCACCAGGAGATTCCAACCATGAAGGTGTTCGCTAGTCTTGGTGGGCGATCGGGTCCGCAAACACCAATGAGGAACCTCAGCCGACACAAAGGGTGCTGCCATGCTTCCTTCCCGAGCCCTTTCAAGGTCTCTTTTTGCTGTCAAGCTGGAAGGACAGATTGCACAGAGTTTTTGTTGTGGGATTCCAGCGTGAGGCTGCCTTTTTGTTGAAATCACGCAAGAAGCCGCCTATCTCTTTCAGAGAGACCCCTATTTTATCGGGCTCTATCGGAATCAGGATAGACCCTGCTCCCCAGCCCCCCACCCAGGTCACAAACTTCCGGATTTTGTCTGGTCCGGAAAGGTACCTATGCATAGGCCCATTTCAAGTGGGGGAGGCAGAGCCTAGGCATAGACCCCTATCCGAGGCATGGACCCGCATCCTTTTTTCTGATAAGGGTCTATCCGTCCCTGCCTGTTAAGCCGTGCAAGCGTGCTTCAGGCATATTTTTTCAAACCCATCATGCGAGCATTGTGTTGCAAAGGCTCTAATTCGAACCTGTCACGCGAGCGTTGTGTTTGCAAATTGGGGGGGGGGGGGGGGGCACCCACCCGCTTGCTAAGCCGAAACCCTAAACCCCAAAAAGCTAAACCCAAAAAAGTAAACCCTAAAAACCTCTAAACCCTAAAAAACCCGAAACCCTAAACCCCGAAGAGCCCCGAAACCCTAAACCCTGAAACCCCCTAAAGCTGAAAAAACCCTGAGCCCTAAACCAAAAAAACCTCAGACCCTAAGAATCCTAAGCGCTAAACCCTACCAAAAACCCTAAACCCTAAACCCTAAACCCTACAAAACCCTAAACCCTAAAAAGCCCTGAACCCTAAACCCTAAAAAAGCCTACAAACCTCAAGCCCTCAACCCAAAAAAACTGCGCCCTAAACCGAAAAAAGCCCCAAACTCCAAACCCCCCCTGAGCCCTAAACCCTAACACGCCCCAATACCTGCCCCCTAAAAGCCCTAAACCCTAAACCCTGTAACCCCCTCAACCCTGAACCCTAAAAACCCTTGACCAAAAAGAATCCATAAGCCCTAAACCCTAGAAATCCCTCCGGCAAAACCCTTAAAAACCCTAAGCCCGAAAAAGAAAACCTAAACCAGAAACCCCAAAAGAACCCTGAACCCTAATCCTGAAAACCCCTAAACCCTAAACCCTAAACCCTTAAAAACCCTAAAACCCTAAAATCCCCTGAGCCCTAAACCCTAAAAACCCCTAAACTCTAAACCGAAAAAACCCTAAACCGTCAAAACCCCCAAAACAGACCTAAACCCTAAAAAAACCCTAAACCCTAAACCCCAAACCCTAACAATTCCTGAGCCAACAACCCCTAACCCCTGACTGAGCCCTAAACTCAAAAAAAAACCTAAACCCACCAACCCCTGAAGTCTAAACCCAAAAAACCCTAAACCCTAAACCCTAAAAACCCTAAGCCCTGAACCCTGAAAACCCCTAAACCCTAAACCCTAAACCCTGAAAAACCCTAAACCCTAAAAAACCCTAAACCCTTCAGAGCTCTTGGGCCCTGAGAGGAAATCGTCCCACAGTTACACGACTTCGCCCCGCGCAACGGGCACTTGCGTGGCCTGCTCCATTGTTGTGCGCATCCTCCATTCCTTGCCAGGCTGATTTTTGCAGCTGATCACATCAGCCGCCAAGTGCGCCACTTCGATATCGCAATTGAAGTGAAGCCCCGCGTAAGCCAATGTCATCAAGGCATAGCATAGCGGCGGCTTGGTGGAAAGGCCTTTAGCTATTGATCCAACCACCGGCATGTTGTCACTGCATTGACGCAAAACCACCCAACGGCGAAAAGGAAAGTCGTCAACCTTCTTCCTCACCAGGACCAGCGCCAGTAGCGACACCCTGCTTCATGGCGCACTGCCATTGCCAAGAGCTGGGCAAGTCCTCTAATCGCAGCCCTAAGTGGAACCAAATTTTGTCGCCAGCCGAGTTTAGGCACCATCCACCCAGGCCAGACAGAGACACATCTGCCCATGCATCTGCAGCCCTATTCATGTCCACGCGCGCACCTGCCCAGTGGAAGGTATTGCTAACACGCGAGTCTTCAGCAGACGCAACGCTGCTGTTGCCGCAGAGTCTAGATTGGTCAATTTGCCCCACTCACAGAAGCGCACCCACGCCGTGCCACCAGTGAGTTTGGGCTGCTGTGACGGCCGTAGCCCATTTGCAGCCGAGGAGACTACTCGCGAAGCCCCATCGCGCAACTTCCACCCTTTCTGCACGTCTGAAGTTGTGGCAGCACGCGACACCAAGAGGGTTTTGGGGTCGACGATCTCCACCAGTTCACGCAGTTGGTCCAAATGTAGCAGCTGCATCTTGGATGTAGGCCGATGTAGAACATGGAATAGTGGAGCCAAGAACCCACGTATGGACCGCGCTTCATTTGCGTGGTCCACACCAGCAACCCAATAAGCTCTGCCAATTCGTTTCTCAACACGCGCCGCGGGTGCAGCACGAACCAATTCATTGCACACAAGAGTCGCTGTTTCTTATACACCGACAAGCTGGCGAAGAAGTCGCCTTCCTTCAAGGATAACTGCCAACCTAAGTAGGTGACGCTTGGACCCAGCTGCAGCTTTGTCCAGCTCAATGGCACGCCAAGGATTTGCGCCAACGCAAGAAGTCGTCAACGTACACGACATGCATGTGTTTGCGCCGAAGTACCATGTGGAAAATGCGAAGCAGCAGCGCAGATAACCTGGACGGCGCTCCAGGAGGCTCCAAAATGGTTTACGAGATACACATAGAGTGTTGCTGTAGTAAGTGAAACACAGCAAAGCCCACATCACGCGGATCTGCGCGGAGGCTTCTGCGCGCGCCTTTGACGTCTAGCGACAGCAAGATCCACTCATCTGCACACGGCGCAGCGGTGTCTTCGGGGGCCAAACGCCCGACGCCGCAATTGTCTGCCGAACCCCAGCGGGCGCACCCGCACTCAAGATGCTTGGCAGGTCTTTATCCACATCGCGCATGGCCGACGCAATTGCGCTGAGCAGGTTGCACTTATAAGGCGAAAGCTCGAAGGAAGCCGAGGCACCAGCAGCATCCACTCCAAGGCATCGCAGACTGCCGACCTCATACTCATTACCTCAGTTTCTGAAAAGATAGGTTCGGCCACGGGGCCGCCCTGCAAGCGCGAACGTATCCTGGCACAGGCATCCACAGGCATTGACTCGAACAACGCTTTTCGCGCAGCCTAAGCTATCTCGGAGGCCCGCAGCAGGTGGCACTTGCCAATCCAGCGTACTGGAAACACCACCTCCATCCTATATGAGGTCCTCATGATATTTGGCACTCTCGCCCCAGTCTTCTAAGATGACGTCGAACGCATCCTCCGCCCCTGCTGCCAGTGACCAATAATAGAAGTCACGGGCCGTCTTCCAGCCTTTCGCGTCAAGTGTCTTGATCACCTCCTCCTGGATCTTAATCTCTGCCATTAATCATTAACGCCTTGAACGCTTTTGGGCAATCCATGTTCCTAACACACAAGGAAACGCAAGCTTTCTTCTTCACAGCGTGAGCCCTCGAACTGCCCAACGCCACTCACAAATTCTGAATCACCAAAGAGAAACGCGCGAAACATGCTTTTCACTCGCGATATCCACGCAATCACTTGCAATCAGCAACGCACTCCGGCTTGCACCTATTCCTGCGCTGCGCTCCGGTAGCGTTTCTCCAGCACGCAATCCATCGCGAACACGCTCTCCGGCGTTCTCACTCGCAATCCATCGTGCAACACGCTCTCCGGCGTTCTCGAGCCCTAGTCCTTGCACGCAATCCATCGTGCCACACTCGCTCCCGCGTTCTTCTCCGGCTACGACTCCACCAAGCACTGCATCCAACGCGCAGCACCCTCAATCTTAGCCCCCTAAACTCCCGCGCTGGTAGATTGCAACGCATTGTCAACCAGCTCAGCCAGAATTCTATTCATAGCACTGCTGCGCACGCCGGGTGTGAACATGGGAAGAAGTCCCCCGCCTCCCCAGCAGGATCACATCGCCACACCTGCCAGTGCTTCGTGCTGACATCCAGCGTAGGTGCACAAGCCCGTCCAACTGTGTCGTCTTGAAGAACCACAGCAGCATGATAGCATAACGTAGTTTGGTTCACCACATAAGCACCGTGGAGCCTTTGTTTTGCCGCATCGCCAATCTCCTCAGACTCTGACGCTGCATCCATGTCCGTCGACGAACACGAGCTGTGGCCCCAGAACCGGACTCCGACGCAGTCGCATCACTTCCGTCAGTATCCCTGAACGTTACTAGCCACGGCGGCACCACAAGCTCATCACGCTGCATCTGAGGCAACGGCAATTCCTGCAACGGCTGCAAGCCCCCTCTTGCCTGAGGAGCCCACGGTGTCCAGCCAGCGCGCACAGCTTTGATCACATGCAGCTGCGCTTGTAAGGCCGGCAGCACATCGTCCCTGGAGGCCACCATGGCTGCTCCAGGCTCTTTGGCACGATGGTGCCCCCAAGCTCGCCTCGCTTCCGAGGCCACCTCTAGCTGCAAAGCCCTGGTTTTCCATGAATGCACGGCATACGGCGCAGCCAAGTGTGCCGGGACTCCAGCAACGTGCATCAACAAGCGCCGCAGATGACCCAACACATAAGAGAACGAAGCCCTAAACCCTTGCAGCCCAGACCACACCATCCTCACAGAAGAGGTCGCTCGCGAGCACCCTCTGCAGATCGCTGTAGCGCAGAGCGCCCCATAGCATTAAGAGGAACGCAGTCAGCAGCCACACGTCCTTTGCATTCTCCACCCCAGGTGGCAGCACGGCTTGCTCAAAGGCGGCCACAGCATACAGTGGCAACGGCGATGCCTCTTTGCGCGCTCTCTGGCGCTTGTCGCCACACCACGCCAGAACAGCTGGATTCTCCAGCGTTCGCTGCCACGATGCCCAACCCAGGATGGCCGCCACAAACTTCTGCGACGCGACGGCCGCCGGGGATTCCCGCTTGGACTCCGCCAAGACCCTGAAGAAGACAACCAGCGCGTGCGCGCTTCAGGGTCATACAGGCTCCACCCTTGCTCCAGCGCGAATGTAGACCACAGCTTCCAACCAAGCAAGTGCCTGCGCAACGTGGCCGGCGCTTTGCCTTTCAGGATGTGCAAAAAAGATTCCTCAGCCAACTCACCCAAATCGCAGAAAAGCAGCGCCACGGACAAACTGCCATGCAGCCGGTGCAGCAACTCCTGCACAAACTTTTGCCACTCTGCATCCTCTTGCGCACGCGCGCGCACGCGCGCGGAACCACGCGGCCGCACTACGCAATCAGCCATGCTTTGAGGGATTCTCCTGCCACTGCTCACATGTTGCTCCACAATAGTCGAGGACACCCCATCCGCTGGCAGCAAGGCCGGTAGCAAGCGAGGCCATGAAGACCACGTGTCTGGACGTGCATTCAGGTCATTCTTGGGTTTAACCCCGGCCCGTAACTCTTTTCGCATGGCTTTCTGCCCTGAGGCATCGGACCAGCCTTGCCGGCCCTTACATAATATGGGCCCAGCGGCGGATTCTTCGGCTAGCGCCTCATGATCGGCACACAGCAACTGACGGAAGAAAACAAAAAACAACTTCAAAGACGACATCAGCACACTCTGACAGCGACCAACACTTCTGTCACCGCTGCCGCAACACTGTCAAACATTCATACAAGACATGTGACACTAGATAGAGAGGGTTTATGTCACAGTCTAGGGCCAGTGACAAAATGCACAGAACCCTACACCCCAAACCTGAGACCCTCCACCTCATCCCAAAAAACAATCATGCAAGCCCAGAACCCTAAACCCCAAACCGTAGACCCACCACCTGATCCCAAGCAAAAATCATGCAAGCCCAGTACCCTAAAAGTGCAAGCATGTCTAAATAAATCAAGCCCCGCTGTTTCGAGGTGTGTCGTGTAAGTTTGCGATTATAGGGGTCTATAGGTTGTGGGTATTGTCTATCTGGAGAGGATTTGAGGGTCCATTCTGCCCCTACAGAACCCCCTTCCATGGGTGGATACCAGAAACATCCAGAAACCCTCTTTTTGAACCAGGAAACTGCTTAATGCTCTAATTAAACCGTAAAAACCTTAACCCCACCATGAAGCACAGGGGGGGCCGAGTGAAAATACTCAAGTTTAAACCCTAAACCTTAAACCCTAACCCCACCATGAACCACAGACCGTGAACCACAGGGGGGAGGGGAGGGCTTTGACTCTAAACCTTAACCCCGCCATGAAACACACAGACCAGAGTGAAAACCCTAACCCTGAAGCCCAACCCGAAGCAGTTTGGAACCCAGACCAAAACTACCAACCCTATGCCTCAAACCTGAGACCCTAAACCGGGTTAAAGGGTTTAGGGCTTAAAGGATTGAGGTTATGGGTTTAAGGGCTTAGGTCTTAGGGCGTAAGAGTTTAAGGGTTTGGGGCCTAGGGTTTTAATGGGTTCAAGAGTAAAGGGTTTACGGTTGACCTCAACATTTACCTCCCTTCCTTCTCTCTCACTTCCTAAATATGATTTGTCCTGGGGAGGGGTGACAATCAAATTTCCCCAAACCCCAAACCCCAAACCCCAAACCCCAAACCCCAAACCCCAAACCCCAAACCCCAAACCCCAAACCCCAACCCCTATAAAAAGAACGTGGAATTTTGGTGCTATATCCCACCACATTGGGAGGCGGGGCAGACCTGGGGGGGGGGGGGGGGGGGGGGGGGGTGGGAAGGGAGTGGGGGAGTGCGCGTGAATGCAAGCGCATATTTAAACCTGCACATTTCCTGGCTCTATTTTCATAGCGAATGCAGGCCACACCCTTCGCAAACCCAGAACGCTAACCCTAACATGCTGAAGTATCTATAGCCCATGTTTTGGTGGATGCTCTTCATATCGCCCCTGGCGGCACTAGGATGCTGCAAAATCACAGCGCTGCAGGTCTAGGGGGTCGGATGTACGTCTTCAGGTTTTGAAAACCCTTCGGCTTTGGAGCGTTTGGGACATAGCATGTGCCTTTGAATCAGGACCCCCCCTTTGATCCGCATTGCTTGCGGTTTGGAGTTGATGGTTTCTCGAGTCAGCAAAGTAAGCCACCCACAGGGTCCGCAGCAGAGAGCTTGTAATCCTTCGGCGAGGCCGCTGTCAAGTTTGGGGGGCGGTTCGGAATTTTTTTCTGACCCGAAAACCCAAAGCCTTCAACCCCAGTCGCTGTCAGCTTTGATCTAGCTAGTAGCCACAGCTTAACATTGTTCTCCAACACGGTTGGGCCTGGCAACTGAATCACATCACAGGCCAGCCGCCCAAGACCTACAACAAGCACCACATCCTGCAAGGCACTTCAGCCCCTGGCTTACCGGAGCACAGCACCCCCAAAACCCCAAAGCAATTTGACCCTGAAATTTCATAACAAAAGCGCCAGCGAAGCCCTTGGGCCCTCTCAAAAAGCTTCCAAAATTCAATCCGAAGCCCGGAAGCCCGAAACACCTGAGAACCCTAAATTCCCGATAGGAGCCTCAGAGAGCCTCCGTCTTTTGCGGAGGTCGGGGTGCACTCCATGTCATCTCAAACATGCGGCTGCACCTGCTTTTTGCGTCGGGATCTTTACTAGAAGGCCAAGCGCTTTGGATCGGGCTTTTGTCGGGATTTAGGGTTTAGAATCGAGCTGATGTTCCCGAATGCAGAGATGGCCCCCAAAGAAACCTCAAAACTGTGGGAGGGGGGGAACACAGTAGACTTTTCCCTTGAAGTATACGCATTGCAGGCAGGTTTTGGCAGACTCAAGCCGAGGTCCCAGGGGCCCCGCGCGAATCAAGCCTGAACTCTCAAAATGGCTACGATGTTCCTGTGCAGCGGGGCTCTAATGTCGAAACAAGAACCACTAGGGCCTTCTTGCCACGGTGTGCAGCCACACACGCTTCGGCTTGGATGCACTCGGCACTCGGCACACGAAACCTATGGAAACTGGAAGGCAGCCTCTGCTTTGACCAAAACCTCTTTTTGATTCTCGGGGCCCAAGCAAGCCTAAACACTTCACATCCTGGCCGCGATGGCTGAAACCCTAAGCCCTGAGCCCTAAACCCTATAGAAGCGTTGCCTGTTGAACAATAAAAACACCAGCAAAACAACAAAACAAAGTTCCAAAGCCTTATTTGAGAAAAGAATCAAACCCTGTTTCCATTAGCAGCAACTGCGGCGCCTCTTCTTCACGGGGCTCGCAGACGAGAGGCTGGAGTGGTACCTAGCTTTAGGGTCCAATTTCACAGGTTCAGGGAACTCCAGGACTTGAATAAATCCCGACACCCTTTTGCATCCAGGCTTGGGCGAACGTGCCGGGAAAGAGCTTGTTGTACACCCATATCCCGACACCCTAAACCCCAAAACCCATTGAATCCTCAACCTCTACACCTATTGAAACCCTCAACCCGAAGAAAAAACCTCCACCATCCGATGTCGGGCTTCCGAAGCCACCAATCCTTCTGAAGCACTACTCGGGCACCTTGCGTGTGGACCCAAGTTGATAGATTCTAGGATTCTTGGGAGAGCAAGCCTGCAAGGTGATGACCTTCGGTCCAACAATCCGGCACAGCCGCAAACAGTCCAAAAACCCTGACATCCTGACCCCCCCCCCCCCCAACCCTTTCTACTGCCCTTTTGAAGGCCCAAAAGAAGCCCCCAAAAGAAGCCTTGCAAGAGAGCCCCTCCGCCAAGCTGCGGGTCAAACTCACGGATCTCGGCGGGTCCCCAGGTTACAGCCTGGCACCAGGGCTCGGAGGTATCGAGAAGAAGCAAAAAAAAACCTGGGTTCCTACTTTAGTTTTGGGTTTAGGGGTTAGGGTTGAGGGTTTAGGGTTGAGGTTTGAGGGTTGAGGGTTGAGGGTTGAGGCTTGAGGCTTGAGGGTTGAGGGTTTAGGGTTTAGCAGGGTTTGGGGCAACAGGAGGTTCATGGGTAGTCAGAAATGGGGCTACAAGTAGGGTATCTATAATTATAACTGGTTAGAACCTTTTCTTGAGGATACCAGTAACCCTACGTAACCTCCAAGTAAACATCCGAAAGCCCCACGCCTCAAGCCCACGAACCTTCACAACCTTCGCAACTCAAAAGCCACAATCTAGTTGAATCCAACAAGTCAGACTGCTGACTCATGGGCCCCCACAAACTTTGGCCGTGGAACCCGACACCCTGACAACCCCACCCCCTCCCCCCCCCCAAGCATCCCCAAGCCCACGGAAGACTCTCTCGACCACCATCCTAGACGGGCGAAGACCCCTCCTTGCGCAACGGCCGCGGCTTTCCTGCAGCCCTGGGTGCCGGCTTTTGTTGTTTTTTGGGGGCTCACGGAGGTTGGTGAAGGCTTAGACTTAGCTGCTTCAGCGCTCAAACTCCCACGGGCTGGTTGTGCTGTTTTCAAAGGATTTAGGTGTTGGGGTGGAAGTTTAGGGTTTGGTGGTCTGAGGCTTAAGGCTCTTCAGCAGTTACCCCTTTTGCACCCTTAAACCCTCCAAACCCTCCATACCCCTTAAACTCAAGCTCTCTTCGTTTTCAGCCGTCGCAGTCGGGCCGGCGGCAAGAGGTCTTTTCCATCAGCGGGCTGGTGCCTTACCTCGGCCAGGGTTTTAAAGGGGGGCTGGGGCTGAGCTTGAGCTACAGGTTCCAAGAAAAGCCTGCTCTAAGATGCTTTGCGTTTCGAGGGAGCTCATGTTCTCAACTCGACCTGCAGGGCCGACACCCAGAGACCCGCTCTCCATCTAGTCCATGGCCCAGCCCAACCCCAAAAGCTGCGCCTGGAATGCAGGTTAAGTTAAACCCTAGACCCTCAACCCTAAACCGTAAACCGCAAACCCTAACCCCAAACCCTAAACCCCAAATGGAGGGGCTTCAGGGCTTCCGGTCTCTGCGCGGCCGGCGACTGAGATCACGGAGGCGCTGCAGCAGCACTTCCGCATTGACTGTGCCTCGGCCCAGGGTTTCCGGGTTTGGGGCTCGGGATGTTCCCCCTTATACTAACAGTTCGTACTAGGGATGATAATCAGGGGTACTATAATCGGGCCTTTCAAGGCTTTGAAAAGAATCCCCTCTCCACAACTCTAACCCTGAGCCCTACTAAAGTTCAACACGCCAAACCATCTCCGCAGCACGAGAACTTCTCAAACCGTCCTGTTTGGAACCTAAAAAGGCAGCCAAGCGGCCGAGCATGAGCTCTGCCACCCGCGGCATCTGCCCACGCCGCATGAGTTCGGCACCTGGGCTTCAAGGGGGCTGTGGGGTTAACTTCACTCCGTTGACTTTGCGTTCACGATGAGTTCTTTTTGCCCTCCGCCGCGAATGGGGGGGGGGGTTAAGGGTTTTGGCTTCAGAACTTGGGGTCTTGGATTGGCTTGCGATGCAGGAGATTTAGCATGAGTTAGCGTTGTCACCAGCGGCCCGAGAGGTCACAAGTGACCCACCGTTATGTCGCGAGATGTCACAATCACCTCTCGGGCCTCCCAGGCTCCCGAACATCTGAGCCCGACACAGGCGACGGCCACAGGATCCTGGAGCGGGAGGCGCCGTGAGGCAGAGTTTTGGCAAAGCACTACACATCTGGCAGGCTTACAGGGCTTAGAACTTATTCTCCCAACAGCAACATCTTTCACTTATACTATAGGGCTAGGGGCTGAGTTGAAGCTGAACTCTCATTCCCAAGCCCTCAAGACCCTTGGTCTGGGCTCTGGATCCCCCAAGCCCCACCTTGTTCACAGTTGCTACGGCGCGGATCTCATCATCTTCCGTGTAGTACGAGATGAACTCCATATTGCTCACGTCTCCTAAAGGAAGGAGAACTAAGGCTTTCGGGCTTGCTTGATTTTTTGGGGGCTCGGAGCAGGCGATTGGAGCATGAAGATCCCCTGCTCCAAAAACAGCGGCACCTTCGATGATGACGCGGTCCAGTGCTTCGGGCGCATGCCCGACAAATCGGAGGTTCAGGTTCCCGAACAGGCCTCTGCACAGGATCACAGGTCACAGGGTCTCACAGTTTACGCCCAAGAAGCCTGAGCCGTAAAACTCTGTCACGCCCTAAAGACCCTCAACTTGGCCCTAGACCCCTCAAAGCTCTTTTCCGCCTGACCAAAAGAAAGGCGTGGTGGTGAAGGGCTGGAACTTCCCGAGCATGTTCTGCGCTGCCACACGGCCCTGCTGGGTTGCAACATCCCAGTGCTCAATTCCTCAGCTCCGGGGTGCAGGATTTGCTGACAAGGGCCTTGGGGGGGTAAGATGGGTTGAGGCCCCAGAGAACACCCCGGACCCAAAACTCAGTATCAACACAACGCTGTTCGACCTACCTCTCTATAATTGCAGACGTAGATGCGCACCCGTTGCCCGGTGCGAACGGCAGGATAAGCGCAGACATCGCCTGCTGCAAAGAGGTTCTCGCAAGCCTCTGCCTGCCAGCTGTGGGGAGACCCGCAAGGCATCTCGATTCATTCACACTGCCCATCTCAATTTTTTAGGGTTTAGGGTTTAGGGTTTCGGGTTTGAGTTTAGGGTTTAGGTTTAGGGTTTAGGGTTTAGGATTTAGGGTTTAGGGTTTAGGGTTTAGGTTTCGGGTTTCGGGTTTAGGGTTTCGGGTTTAGGGCCACCTGCAGAAGCGGGTTCACGATGATGGCCCCGTTCTTGTCCTGTCGGGATCTGGAAATTTGGCTTCAGGGCTCTCAATGCCCCAGACCGAACCTGCTCTGCATAAGGACTGTCTGTAACCATACTACGCCCTGCCTTGCAAGATAAGACTGCGGCAGCTGCATTCGACAAGGTCTTTGGTCAATTATTGAGACAGCCCCTGTCCAGCGACAGGCCCTCAATGAAGCGGGTGTTCGGGAGCACCCCTGCGCCAACCACCACAGCGTCTGCCGGCAGCACCTTCGCGAAACGGGTGCCACTCGCACTGAAGCCGTCAGGATTTACGATGTCTAGAAGCCGTAACACTGTAGCTGCTCGGAAACTCTTCTTCTTCTACGGGCACCCTCGGAGACTCTCTCTCATGCGCACAAGGCCCAATATGCCTTGGCTAAGGGGGTGCTCAGCTCAGATCATCTGATTCGTGTGGAACAAAGGTAGTCGACACCAGTATGTTTGCAACGGGCGCTTGAGATACCAGGGCAACCCTCAGTGAAACATTATATATGGTTGTGTGCTGTGCGTTCTCGCCCCCCCTATCCAACTGTCAACTCTAAATACACCCATTCACTCATCCCTGAACCCCAAGCCCCAAAGCCTAACACTCTAAACCTAACACCTGCGTTTGCCATGCAAACCCTGAGCCCAAGCCAACCCACAGCCACACCCCAGGGGCTGGGGGGGAAATTGCGGAGGGGGGTCCACGGAGTCGCCCTAGAAACCTACTCCCAAACAAGCGGGGGCCTCGCCATCTTCCAGCTCCACCCCGTTCACGGCTTCATTGCCGCGGAAGAGGCGAACCTGCGATGTGCCGAACCTCGGATTTGGCTCTGGGCTGGTGGCTTTCGGACCGTTGTTTTGGGTGGCGCTGGAATTGGCCAGGGGATGTGGGGCTCATGGTGCAGGCTTGGGGCTTAACAGGCAGCATACCAGATTACAGAAGCCACAGAACCACTGCAACTCGGGAAGTCAATCCGAACGATTTGCAAACTGTGCTCACCAATGAGGGTTCGAAACCGACTCGCGTACCGGAACGACCGATCTACGCACTGGCAAATTCAGATTCGCGCGCTGACACATGGAGCCGCGCATTGCAGATTCGCTCACTCTGGCCGTGGATTCGCGCACAAGCTGATTCGCTCACTGGACAGCGGATTCGCACGCAGGGGGTTCAGGCTTTGATGTAGCAACGGATTCGCATCAACACCGATTCGCCCATAGCTATGCCTGCCTAAACCCTCACACCCACCTTAAAGCCTGGAAGCTGTGGATAAAAAGCGCAAAACCTTAAACTTTAACTTTAAACCCCTTACCTGGGGTGTAGGGGTGCAGTCCTAACTAAAGAAAACTCAACCCGCACAGGAGGAAGCACGAAAACTCCACTGAAGGCTTCAGCCGACGTGCCACTCCACCCCTTCTTTCTGCAACTTCCGCGCGAAGGATGCTCCGACTTTCCTTCACGGCTTTTGGAGTAAAAGTGGTCAGGTCACACTTGGATGGGTGTTCGGATTCTCGAAAAAAGCAACACCACTGCAACACCTGTAGTCCTGAAGGGGAGCGACACCAAAGAACACGCATGAACATCTAAAAAGTTGGGAGGTGAATCCAACTGGCAGCTATGATCAGGGGGCCGTGCAAAACAACACAACAACAAGCAGGTCTGTCGCGAAACCCCAGCATGGATACATACCCTATCTGTCGCGTGTGGGCCACGACCCTGTTACAAGCAATTAACTTTGGCTCGAACACGCTGCTCACTATGAATCCGTGGCTCTTGCCCAACACGCGCTCGAAGGGCACCGTCTCCATAGCAATCACTGCCACATCGCAACCTTTTTTAGCCAGCGATGACGCCACTTCCATGCCAATGAAGGAGCCACCTGCCATTGACATTGTACCCGGCGGCTAGCACGAGTACAGTCTGTCACAAGCCAACTGCCAAAACGACGGGTGCAGAAGCCGTGGAAAATAAACCCTGAGCAAAGTCACCTCAGAACCAGATTTCTGAACTCTTCTCATACTTCACGTTTAAGAGTTGAAGACCAGCCCGAAGAAAAATGGGCATCAACTCCAGCCGACCAGTGGCAGCCAAATCAAGGAACCCCCCTTCTAGCAACGACCAAGCACGCTGAACAAGCCCACCTACAACAATCATCTTTTGGCCCTTTTTGGCCAGCTGGGCGATCTTCGCGGCATCTTCAGGAGTCCTTGCAATGCATACTGGCTAACTCAAACGATGACATTTTCCCAACCAAGGAAGTTTGCACTATCACCCCCGCCTTTGACGTCTAGTTGCACGTGCTTGGAACATTGAAAACAGCTTGCGGAAACTTGTGATGGCCTCGCAGGACACTTTACCCCTTCAGCCTCAGCGTGAAGATATTCTTCAAGTCGGAACCCGGCACGAAGAGCTTGCGGGGCGTACCCCCTGTGGCAACCAAAACTTTGTCGAAATGCACAGTCTCCTGGCCCGGAAACAAGGCATTGGTTGACACAGCGCAAGGCTCCCCACACACTCGGACCTTCTGCGCATCCCCGCTGGTGTAGTGCACGGTCTGCGTTTTGGTATCCAACTTTGTGACACACGCGTTCCGCACGACTTCGATGTCGTAGTCCTGCACCATGCAAAGATGCATCCAGCTGAACTTGCTGACAGTTGAGGCACATGTCTTGCTGCAGGTCCTTGTAGAAACCCTCTGGCCGAAGTAGAAGCTTCTCTACCTTCTTTTCTAACCGCCACGGTAAACCCGCAATGGGAAACCGGCAGCATGCTTCACATACAGCTTACAACTAGGCATCATGAGGCAAGAATGTGATAAGCACACCGCGGCTTCCAGCAACCCTTAGAATTCAACGCGGCGACTGGCTTGTCCAGCGCTTTGGAAAGTTGCACACGGTCCTCAGGAGACCACGGCGCTGTGTCTTTCGGCTGCCGTTGCATTACGCAGTAAACTGCGCAGCAAACAACCGGTGGTCCACAAAGAGATAAGCAGGCAGCTTGCAATACGAGTGACATGGAAGAAGTCATGCATGTCCATTCCGCCAAAGCATCGTATGGCAAGTGGGGCTCGCGAGTGAGCATGACAATGCGACCCACAAAGCCCTCCTGCATGAGAGCTATGTGGCAAACGCCCATGTAGCATCAAAAAGGTCGTGCCTGACGCAAAGTTTCAGCAGCAGCCAACGAGGCTGGGCCGCCGCCGAGCAATGCAAACACCCGCTGGTCGGCTGACGTACGCTTCGTCATTTGCTTCAAAACCTGCACAAGCGCACTCAGCATGTTTCAATGTCATTTCTTTGACTTGTATGCACTTGAGTGTGCCTGCCGAAGAAGTTTCTGTTGCTTCATTCGCAAGGCCCTGTTGGGCCCGAAACAACCCTCCAACGACATCGAGAAAGCCCTCCAGCGAAATCATGGTCTCAAGTTTTGCCCAAGAAAACCCCGCCAGAAAAATCATATGTTGTCATATGGTTTCAAGTTTCAAGTTGGGCCCATCTTGGTTAAGTTGGGAATGCCTTGCAAGTTTTTTTTCCAGCAAAATACCTATAGCCTTCCAAAGCCATAAGGCCTCAGAGGAACACAACTCCACGTCACTACTTGTGAGCAAGCAGGAGCGTCAAAACCCCGTCTGGATTTGGGGAGGCGAGCGGAAGGCCCAGCCGAGACGAAACGAAGATGTATACTACAGCGCTCGGTGCACGCGAGCATGGAACAGGGCGTCAGGAGTCAGGAGATGGGTGTCTGGGTGCTCAACTGACCCAAGCGCAGGCCAGAATGCAGGAGAACCGGAGAAACCCTCAACGAAGGCAGGAGGCCAAATGAGCGAGAGAGCTGGGGATGTGTGACAAGCGGCAAGCGAGCTTAGGGGTCAGTGAAGGGGCGGGCCTCGCCCGCGCCTGGCGACAGGCGACGGAGCACAGCACGCGCCGCGATCAGGCCCGCGAGCTGGCGCCAGGTAGACGCAGCCGTTGGACCCCAACCACGGCTGCTTGCCTCGGCAACAAGCGGGACGAATTGGAGGCCTTCAGCTTTGCAGTGTTGCTCTGTCTGGAGGTGGGTGCGCTTGCGCGCCTCGTAGGCTTCAGCCGCGGCTACGCCGGAGCGCGCGGACTCAGACAGGACGGCTCCTGCACGGAGGCCGGAAGTGACGGCAAGGTCAAATGCGGCGGCCCCACGCAAGCCCCATTGCGCAACCCATACATCCGCTGGGCGGCGATGCCGGGCACCCCGGCCACCATCCTCAGCACCATCACCATCCGGTCGCAGGGGAAGCAGGCCCGGCTTCTCGACCTCAACCCCAAGCCCAGCAGCCTGCACTCGAGCAGCAACCACGGCCCTGAAACGGTTATGGCGCTTGACTCGATCCCCGCCACATGGGCAGCAACGAGAATGGTCGCCAAAGGTGTCAGCGACACCGTCGCACAGGGGGCAACGCGTGTCTTCCGGAGAGACGGGCAAGCGGAGGCGGAGCTGCACCATCACGCGGAAGAGGCGGGGCGCAACATGGAGCCCAAGAGCCTCGCTGGGGGGGGCGTGGAGCCAAGCCCCAGAGCCCGGAAGCTCGAGGAGGCGCAGATGGGCCCGGGCGGCCTCACGACCTTGGCCCGGAGCAAGGAGCTGCGAGATCACTGCGCGATCGAGTGCCTGAGACAGCTCACGCTGCCGGGTGGTAAGTGGCACGGGCGCACGCAAATGGTCTGACTGCAGGACATCTTGGTTGTGGGCGGTGATCGCTGCGAGGTAGGCAGAGTGGGTGGCAAGGTCGTAGTCGGGGTCCAACAAAACGCACGCCTGCGCAGTGTTGACCAGGGAGGCCAGGTAAGCGGCGGGCGCATGCCGTCGGGTAGAGCGGAGGCCCAATCCACCGACGGAGGATGCCAGCGTGGCCTGAGCCCACGCCTCGGAACGCAAAGGGCCAGTGCACATGTGCTCAAGGCAAGCCCTGACACCGGCGTCGAAGGCATCGAGGGCAGTGCTATGGAGGCCTGGAGGGGTGACCCTGGAGGCGTCAGCGACCCGACAGAAACACGCGCAGTGCCGCAACAGGAGCAGAGCAGTTTGTGCATCAGGGAGAGCTGCCAGCTCTGTGAGAAGCGGCCGAGCCTTTTCCACACGCTCCTTGGTGGTGAACGCCTCACAGAACGCTTGCTGACCAACAGGGTCGCCAAGAATGGAGAAGGCGCCAGAGGAGTTAACCCGCACCCCAGCGGGGAAGAGCCGCATGTCAACGCAGCTGTCTGGACCGCCACAGGTGACGACCTCGCGTTTGGTCGGGTTGAGTTCCAGTCCGATCTGTCGGGCGGCAGCCCCAACACGAGCAAGGCTTGCAGCGACTTGCCGGTAGTCTCCAGCGAGGTACACATCATCAAGGAAGGCAAGCACCAGCGCAGGTGGGGCGGGCCCCACCTTAGCAGCCTGCAACGCCGGCTGGAGGGCCAAAGCAAAAAATCACGGTTTCAAAAAGGGAAGGCCACAAAAAGCCCCGTCCGGCGAAATCATAAACTCCGCCGAGGCCTTGGGCCGAAGGTGTATAGGCTGTGAGAACAGGCACCCCTCCGCCCTTTTTGTTACCTGGAATGGGTACCCCCCGTAGGCGACCACGATCTGAAAGCGGACCACTCGCTGCAGTTGAAGCCCCGCCCAACAGGCCCTGCCCCCGTGCAAACCCCGCAACCCTACCTGCACCCTAAACCATAAAACGGAACCCTAAACGCTAAACCACTCAGCCACGCGCCGGGAAGTTGGCTTGGGCTTTCAGTTTTTTTTTTCTTTCGCTCTTTTACTCCTGCCCACTTTGTGTCCGGTCAGTGAAGGGGTCCTACGGAGCCTACGAGGCCCTACGACTACGACAGGTGTCGCAGCGGCAGGCGGCTCGGCCCCTCGGCCTCTGCGAGGTCGAGAACGCGGTCGAGTGGCGGACCCGCAATGCTGTTGGCTTGCGGCGGTTGGGGCCATGGCTGCCCAAGGGCAGTGCTTGCGACTGCCTGCTGCGCTGCGACAGACAGCATGCCCCACCAGCGACGCGTCCAGCCGGAAGACGCGGCGGCGCGCAGGGCTGGCGGCGCTCTGTAGGACCGCAGTCGGACCAGGTCTCGCACCAGTTGCTGCGCGTCGCTGTTGAAGCGCCCTCCGACCTCGCTGCCAAGCACCAGGAGCTTCTGCGGCCCTTGGCGCCGGAGCTCCGGGTAGGTGGCCGCCTTGCGTCGCTCCGCTGCCCGTAGGGCGGCGCCGTCGACGTCGGCCGTGCATGGCTGTGGTTGCCCCGTGCGTGTAAGTGGCGATACCAGCGTCGCATCGCAGCATAGCGCGGATCCGTTAGGCGTCGCCCCGTAGATGACCACGTCTAGGCGGCGTCTGTCCTCCGCGCGCACTCCAGGCGCCGTGGTGTGTACGAGCCATTGTTGTGGCACCACCTGCCCTTCGGCACCGACGGCTTCGCGCGCAACGCGGACCCACGCTCGCTCGACGACCTTGGCGCGTCGGGCGAGCAGGCCGGTTCGCGGGCAAGCGAGCGCGTGGTCGCCGAGGCGGTCGACTTGCGCCCCACAGCCGGGTGCCGGGCCGCACCTGCCGTGGCAGAGGGGGAGTGGCATGCGCAGGCGGCGGCGGAGCGCGAGTTGCATGGCCTGGGGCGCAAGCGTCGTGGCTGGCTCGGCTGGTATGGCAGTGAGCCAGGACCCTGCATGAGGCCCCGATTGGGACCGCACCAGCGCCCGGGCATCCGGCAGCATAGCCGGCAGCATCATACTGTCGCGGAAATGTTGGTTGCGAGTGCGCGACGCATGAAACTGCCAGCCATGTGGCCAGTCTCCCGGGCCGGTGTGTTCCGGCGGGGCCGGGCGGGCTCCTTGGAGGATCTCTCGCCAGCCTGGGCAGGCTTCCCAGCCTTCGGCTCGTAAAAGCTCACGGGCCTCGGCGGCAGCACGCAGGCTGGGGGCATTGTCACCGCCATGCTCCAGTGCATCCCGGCAGCGCTCGGCAAACTCAGGCAGCCGGGCGTGGATCACCGGCAAAGCATCTGCAATGCCGGCCCAGTATGCTGCGGGGCTCGTGCGCTCCGCCGATTGCAGTCCCAAACCGCCGAAGTGGGCCGGCAACATCGCCAAGTCTCGCGCGTGCGGAGCTTCTGGCTCATCCGCGCCCCCAAGGCATTGCTTGAGGGTATGCCAGACGGCTCGATCATGGGCGCGGGCGTAGGCGAGGATCTCCTGCGGCGGCACCGTGCGAAGGGCGTGGTTGGCGCGAGGGCGTGGTTGGCGCGAGGGGAGGCACAAAGCAGCAGGAGCAGCCATGAGCATTGCAAGTCCGGCAGCTTTGGCAGCTGGCGGAGTAGCTGCTCCTCGTCCTCGAGGCGGCGGGTTGCCCAGGCTTGGATGAAATCCGGGTGCCCGACTGGGGTGCCCAGAACCACGATGCCGCGCTGATCAGAGCTTAGGTCACCTCGCCAAACTTCGTCACCGAGCTCCGCGATGCCTGGTGGCGGGGGCCCCTCGCGAGCGCCCATCACTCGTGTTTTGCCTAAATTGGACCCGATGCCACAGTGGTCGGCTACGGCCTCAACAGTGGTGTCCAGCGACGTCCTGGCGCGCGGGGGCGTCGTGGTGATGTAGAGGTCGTCTAAAAACGCGAGCAGGCTCTCGTCGGGGCGAAGGGTAGTCGCCGCTCGGTGCAAGGCATCGTGCTGCCCCAGGGCGAACAAGGCGGGGGCCAGTGGGTCGCCTTGCTCACAGCCCTCGCCTTGCTGGATTTGTTTTTTCTTTTTTTTTTTTTTTCTCTCGCGCCTTCTTCCGCAGCGTATCTTCGCGGGGGCGGGGGGAGGGAGGGGCCTCACCGCCGCGGCGGCACGCGGCTGGCGGGCGGGGGGCGATCCCAGCGGCCATCGGCCAGGACCTCGTGCAGCTCAGGCACGGCATCATCGCCGTTGCTCTCGCCCGCAAGGGGCAGCTCGAGCAAGGAAGATGCGAACGCGCGCTGGGCCGCAACGGCCAGGAGCGCCACCCATCGCGCAACCCAGGCGGCCTGAGCCGCTGGTCGGAGGTGCGCTGAGATGGTGGCGGCTCGGTGGCGGGCCAGGAGGCGCAGGAAGGTGGCTGCTTCGGTGCCAAAGCGCCCACCCACTTCCAGGCCAATGACGACCAGGCGACACCGCCGGGCACGGAGGAGCTCGGGGTACGTGCCGTGTTGCTTGCGCCGCGCTTCTGCGGTGACAGAGCGCCCCGGCTCGACATCAGCCCGCGGGTGGGGCTCGCCCGTACGTG